ATTTCTCTGATTTCACATGGACAGCCATATCATGAAATATACTCGTAATTCACTGGAAAAATCAGTACAGACAATTACCTTGAAAGAATCACAATGAACCACACACGTGGCTTGGATTTCTCTGAATTCACATGGACAGCCATTTCATGGACAATACTCGTAATTCAATTGGAAAATCAATACAGAAAATTACGTTATATTACTTGAAAGGAACACGTAAGGCTCAATCCAAACCAACAAAAAAGCAATCACGCTAATGCCTACGCTTCTCCTTTCCTGGAGCAAGCAGGAATGCAATACTTTCAATACTTCCACCTCCAGTATCTCAGGAAAAAAACTCACAAGCTAACACAAGCTTACCTGATGGGGAAGGCCCTCCCTGCCTGGAGTCTACCAGCCAAACCGTCAGAAGAATTTATGCCAGCGCTGTCCGAAACCGAATTTCGCTGCGGGAAAACACATCCGCACTCTACGACTCCAAGCAGGAAGAGGACTCCCATCCGTCGAACGGTGAAGGATATAGGACATGAGGGAATGACGTAAGCACGCCACGGATTACAGAGTAACAGGCGAAGAGTGGGAGGAGCCGCTGCTGCCATCTAGGAGAGGGGAGCTCTAGCAATGAGCCGAAGAGATCGGCTCAGATGTTTTGGAGGAACATATCGCCTCCATCTTCAGGGTAGAAGGAAAAATATAAGAAATCCGCAAGCGAAGAGACCGAGAACCGGTAAAAGGAGACTGGTGATGGAAATATACACAGCTATGTGAGCTCACAGCTCCTTCTACCCTGAAGATGGAGGCGATACGTTCCTCCGAAACATCGGTTAACACCACATATACACGGTGCCAAATCCCAGAAGACTGCTTTCTTCTTAATATTACAGTATTTGACATTATGTAATTTGAGTTGCTTTGCACTTGGTTAAAATTGTGTGATTTGCTTGAGGGTCCATATTCTGTTAAATGTAAAGGGGTGCCAAATGCTGCTTGAATATTTCTGTCAGATTTGGCCATTACTTAAGGGGTTATGAGTGTTTTTGGAAGAGTTTGTTGCGCTTACTAAGCACTTGATTTATGCAATATGCTGCCAACTACTAGGAAACAAATTACTTGTGTTCAGAATGTCAAACGGTAAAGATAGACAGTTTTCTGCCCCCTCTGTTAACGTGTCACATAACACTATGTTATTTACAGATGAACCAGACACTGACCTCGAAACAGATCGGTTGCTGGGACAACAGCGGACGGACGACCAGGGTTTCTTTGACGACAAAGTGGTGAGTATGAGCTGCATATCCTTCCATATGTGTAACAGGATGAGTGCTGTAGTAACTCGTCAGGGAACCACATGACATAATCATTGAAGTGCTATCCTGTGTTCTTCGTCTCTGTGTTTCGACCACTTTCACTGTTAGCACAATATCGATAGTAAACCTGTTGGTTCATTTTGCGGAGGTCATTATATTTAAAATATACATCAATGTAGAGTTCTGTCTTCTGGGATATGACGCCGTGTAGTCTGGTTGAAGGGCAAGCCAAGCAATACCAGTGTGAAGCAGGCAGCAAACAGATCTCTTCTTGCTCAGCTCTGAAGATGGAGATCACATGTTCTTCTGAAATGCTGGTTGTCTTCCACGGGCCTACACGGTGTTGTTTCCAAGATGACCATGTTGTTCATAACCGCTGCTGTGAGAATCTCAGGTCCTGCCTGTACCAACATACAGTAACGCATCCGGTGGAAATCCTGTCAAGTAAAGAGCTGTTGTTGTGTGTGCAGATGTCCTTCAAATGCAGAGACAGGAAGAGCTTGCTGAAGTTCAAAACATTTGAGACATGCAACGACTGTTGGTTATTCTTCACTTATTCTCTTTTGTCTCTATTTAAAATGCAGGATGTTGAAAATCCGGTTTCTAGGGATCACTTGCTGGCCCAACAGGCAGTGACTGGGTCATGCTATTGAACTGTAATGTTCGCGTAGTCAAGTGGGATGTGCACAACCTTTGTCACATTATGTCATGCAGGTTGCATTTCTGCACCCACTGTCACATTAATGCATCCCTGTGCACATCAGGTTTCCTTTTCTAAAGTTTTGTTTACTTGGGGTGGGTGTCTGTACTGTGCCCATTGTGTGGCCTGAACAGAACGTCAGAGAATGAGGAATGAGAATTATAATTCAAAGATAAACTAATAAATAACAGTGAAATGGTGTGGACATGTTTTTGAACAAATATGGTTTTGTACATGAAGATGAAGATTCGAAAAACAGATTACAAAAAATGTCACAAATTGTGAGGGAAGAATGTAGGAGGAAGTTGAGGAAAAAGAGAAACGTAAGAAGACAGATGGAGGGGCTTGGTCATTGTTGAAAACTTCAAAAGGGGAAGGTCCTGGGCATGCAGTCTCATATCCCTTCACTGACTTAAGATCATCTGATTTCTGTTCTTGATAATTAGTCTTTTATTTCTTGCTGACTGACTGTACCAGGACTGTACTCTTCAGGGTATGGTGCTGTGTAGCCTGGTAGGTGGGCACTAACTTTGCATCCATCTTCAGGGTAGAATTGAGGCAACAGGTTCCTCTGAAACGTTGGGACCTATTTAGCAGACTATATGGTGTTATGCCAAGAACCAAATATGTTTATTAAAAGATCTTGTTCAAATCTTGGTTATCAAACCTGCTGTGGGAACTGCCCACATTCAAGCAAGTGTGACAACGCAACCGTCATTGCTATCATGAATGAGGTTTTTTTTTTTTGTGGTTTTTCTTCATCCATCTCAAAGAAAATGATGGGATATTATAACTTGGCAGGGACAGTTCCATCAGAATCTTTTCCAATTCACCGTTCATGTATCCTCTCCCTTGCATAGTCTGCTGAGGTTATAAGATAACCTGCCAAATACTGTCGTCTCAGGAGACCGTAATCCCACAGAAATGTGCATGGCTGCTTTAGACCGCTGAACTTTGAAGTCCTGTTGGAGCTCTATGGTCTTGAACTGTTTTTGTGTATTTCGTGCATGTGGTACACAAAATTATCAGGTAAATGTGGAAGCTGTATGCTTCCATCTTTCCACATATTTCATCTTTGGAGCATACACATGTATGCATGAATTTATATAAAATTTGATACTGATTGTTTTTTTTAATGCTAGTGGGGTGGGACTTTTTTTTAATGCTAGTGGGGTGGGACATTTTTTCTTTTATTGCTAGTGCGGTGGGAGTAAGTCCGTTGTACTGTGGCAACTTCTGGACGGACTTCTGTACCAGCCTCAGATGATAGGTGAGGGTGACTGTGGAGCAATTGGTGGAATGAAGATTGGCAGGGGAAACTGAAGTACTCTGAGAAAACCTGCCCCAGCGCCACTTTGTCCACCACAAATCCCACTTGACCAGACCCAGGATCGAACCCAGGCCACCGCGTTGGGAATCCAGCGACTAACCGCTTGAGCTATGGCGCGGCCCTACTGATTGTTTTACTTGGAGAGCTGTGTTTTTAAATAACAGGATGGATAATGTCCAGAAACATAATATTGTATTTCTACTATGTACCATCATCACAAACTTTTGGTCTTGTTTAAATTGGAAATTGTGGAAGGAAAATAAGTTCACTTTTCTCCGTCCTTTTTTATTTCCAAACTCAGTTCTGCCGACTATAAATTAATTTGTGCCAAAGAAGAAGGCAGTTTGATATGAGAAAGTGTAAAACTGCTGCTACTAGAAGTTGTGTCAGAGGATGTTCACGTTTAGGGCATAACTCTTGGGATTCAGACATAATGTGACAATAAATTTGTAAAGTTGGTGGTGAGAAGCTTCCAGCAGTGGGCCTGTACGGTAGAAATGTGATACCAGAATCCATCTGATGGGATGGGAAGTGAATAATGCATTTTTATATGTTCATTCAAGATTGAAATTGTGTGACTTTGTTAATGTATGTTAGTACATGTCGAAGTGCAGGAATCATTAAAACTTAAGGGCACAACATCTAAAGATTTGGTGAAAGAGTCTGTTCCAAGAGTTGATTGATTAATGTTGACTCAGAATATATCGTCAAAAGGGAGTATCACTGTTGTCTGATGATAAGGAATGGGGCAGATATATCTGGTCACACCTTCAGGTGGAAGGTGTGGTTCTGTCTGTCCGTCTTAATATTAGGGACTTTCTCATTTGTGGTCCAGTTTCACTGCTCCCAAATCAGCTTCTTAGTCTTGATGTCCCACTGTTTAAAGTAGTTCTCTGATTCCTGTTAAAATCCATTCTCCCCTTGAGAAACGTTAAGGCACAGGCATGAAAGCTGTTGCAGTTATTGGCCTCGTTACTGACAATGGAACATAAAATGTATTGAGAAAACAGTTTCTCTCCTTGTAAGATTTGAGGTTTTCATGGCGGTGACTCTGAATAATGTCATCTTCTGGGATGTGGTGCCATGTAAATCTAGTGTGGACTGACATTTCGGAGGAACGCATCGCCTCCATCTTCAGGGTAGAAAAATTCCCGAGTGAGGAACCAGCATGAGCAGGTGGCTGCAGTTTGCTCATGCTGATTCTTTGCTCGCGGATTTTTCTACCCTGAAGATGGAGGTAATACGTTCCTCCGAAACGTCGGTTCACACAAGATCTACACAGTGCCACAGTCCATAGGGTAGCATTCTTCAATTTCTCTGCTTGTTAACTTTTTTTTTTTTGCCAATGAAAACAAACTGTGTCAAAAATCATAACCTCAATGATTTGAAAGAGTCTCCCACCTCCTGCTGCATTGTCACCCACAGTTTGAGAAACCGTGCATTAAATGATCATTAGCGTCAATACTGTTGCTGCCGCCTCACAAAATTTACGTGGTCACCTTGTTCAGTATTCAGTATTGAGGGGGTGGGTTTCCCCATGCACTTAGACCAGTTATTGGTCCATTGTGCGTCCCCCTTTTAATTTCTACTGTCTCCATACCCTACCGGTACTGGTGCTCGCTATTAGCCCCTTTCTGCCAGCGAGGTTCCAACCTTCTGCTGGCAGTGGTATCTAATAGTTAGTCCCTTTCTGTCAGAGAGGTCCCCCCTCCTCTGGCAGTGGTATCTAATACTTCCCCATCTACCGGAGGCATTGGAAACTACTTTGGGTGGGAAACTTTTTGCCAAATTTAGCTCAGAGGTCTCCTAGAGACATGAGGTTCTTTTACGTGCCGTAAATCTACAACACGGGACCCACGGCTTAAAGTCCCACCCAGAGGACTTGTTCCCTGAATTTTTCCGCCTTTAAAAATTCCACGACCTCTGCCGGGTTTGAACCCGTGTACCTTGAGTCATGAGGTGGGAACGTTACCCCTAGACTACGGAGGCCGCTTGGTCACCTTGTTAGTATTATTTATGGAAGATAGCTAAGTATTAGTGTGGAGTGGTCTCTAGTGGAGTGATGTACATACTAAGTTTTGTGAAAGTTCTTCAGAGGGCTATATTTGATGGTATAAGCCACTTTTCCATGTTAAGGCTCCCCTTCGAATCCTGGTCAGGGTCAGCGATTATGAGTGTTCTTTTTTGCCTCTATGGTATTACCCCACATAAGTTTTGGGACATTACCTTAAAGTAGGCCACAAAAACTTCCTCCCATGCCCATTGTAACCGCCTACAATTATAGGCATATTTAATCGTTTGTATTTTATTAGTTATTAATTGGAGTTCAATTAAGCGAGTGTATTGCAGAGCTGGGAATTCTATTGTGGGGTTTGGAACAAGATATCTGAACATAAGGCAATTTCTGTCACCATAAGTCAAGTGGAGAGGGGCCAAGCAGGTCAGAATGGATCCTGTGGCTGATGGCTTCCAGATATGAAATGCATTACATAGGATAACATGACTTTCATTGGTTTTAACGAATAGAAATGCCTTCATTCGATGTATAGGTGAGGAACTTGGTTCGAATCCAGCCCACTGGCAATGAGGAACTGGCGTTAGCATCAGACGTCACTGCTTGCAAGTGATGCATAGCTGGTATGAGTCATCTCAACTTCACTGATCAATGGATGTGTTTTTTGACATTGGAAATTTGTTGTAATAGATTACTACTAGGAGTTGCTAAGCTGATGTGACTTAGAAATCAAATATTAATACGCCCCATTGCTTCTGCAAATTAAGCAACTAATTGTTAAGAGTATAAACTGGCAAAATAAAATAATTACATTTACCATGAAAGTGAATCCTTGTGGCTTGTCGTATGATGCATGACCGATGTGTTTGCCTGTTAGTGTGACTCTGGATACACAGTCAGCCCTTTACCAGCTGAGTTGCCTATCC